TCCTTGAATGACGAGCAACATGAAATCAAAACAAAGTGATGTTATGTTATCACTATTTACAATGTTCAAAGTTGAATTTTTTTTCTGAATATTTTATTTGAATTCAAAGATCGAACTGAATTAAAAATATTTACACAATATAGTGATTTGTTTTTTTATCAACCATTTATGGGATTTTCACCTTCCACAATCTGAAAAATATAAGAATAAGGGAGAACTTGATACGCGTGTAAAAAGGAAAACCTTTCAGTTCACCCCGATGAGTTACTGCGGAAATTCAGTGTTTTTTGAAAAGGGAAATTCTCTATTCATCTGTCACTTTTACAGCTACTTATCTTAACGTGTCAAAGGCTAAAATCTGCCTCCGTCTTCAGAATTGGAAAAAATCTGAGTGTATTAAAAGTTTTTTCGCTGATTCTCTTCATTTCTAAACAGATGTCAAAGAAATTTTAAAATCTGTGAAAAATACTTTGAATTTATGCGATAACTTATAGGGGTTAACTGAAAAGTTTACCCTTTCTACACGTATATATAGTTTTCCATTATATATGTATAATTTTCATATTTTTCAGATGGTAGAAGGTAAAAATATTCAAATATAAGACCTCCTGTTGGTAAAGCATACCATAACTCTTGAAAACAATGACTGCTACATAATTGTTATGTTACATGACAATTCACTTCGTCCGCGAAATTCTGTCATCAGCGACCTTGGCACGTTTAACTTCGTTTTCATAACCACAGTGTGCCCACATAAGATCTCCGTTTCGTCGTCGTGAATCTGATAGCTTTCTTGAAATTATGTCAATATATTTTAATTAACCTGTCATAAATTATCACTAGCGATCAGTTCGAAGGTATTGATGACCCTGGAAAATAATCAAATTCACGCGGTTTGCCCCTATTTTTTGAGTGTTGTGTCCACGAATTATTTCATTCTTGATTTGTGTCATACACACTCGATAAAATCTCTATCTGTATTTATATATACACGGGCTTATATATATCGGATCGGGCTGAAATTTGGCATGCAGGTAGATATTATGACGTAGGCATCCGCTAAGAAAGGATTTTGATCAATTTTCCCCCCAAGGGGATAAAATAGGGGCTGAAAGTTTGTCAATTTTAAACCGATCGGACTCAGACTTTGCATGCATAAAGCTACTATGACGTAGGCATCCCCTAAAAAAGGATTTTGATAAATTCCACCCCAAAGGGGATGATGGAGGATGTAAATGTATTAGTTTGAACCTCTCAGTAACTAATTGAATGAATAAATTGAGACGAACAAAATGATTTTTAGTTCTGAATTTTGACAATAGATGGCGTTAGTAGTATTTTAAAATGCGCTATCGTTGTGTTTTCACTGAGTTACATATACCCGATGATGAGTGGCGGCAATATCTAATAGTACATATTATACCTAAATATTTCTAGCAGATTATATTTGATGATTGTGGCTGTTATTTTCTTGGCATATTTTGGATTGCATAGTAGTTTTGGCTATAGACTCTGCTTTGTATTTGGCATTTGTTTTGTTTTCGTTTGGTTTAAGAATAGGTTTTGTCGGTTAGACTTTTTTAAAATGGCTAAAGAAAATCTGAACGTTAATGGAGAAGTTGAAGAATGTACTGTCGTCCCTATTGTTGGTGACGGTGCATGTTTGTTTCATGATCTCTCTTATTTAATGTACGGAACACAAGATAGAACGATGGAAGTGCATTCAGAAATTTTCAGATATGTGGTTAATGACTGGAGCAAGCTTTCAATTATGACCCACGACAGGAATGGTGATAACTATGTAACACCTGACGAATATTTTGCTGATATGATGAAAACTGCTACTTATGGCGAATTTTGTGAGTAATAGCAGCAGGATTAATATTCCCATTTAATAAATTGATGGATGTAGCCGTTACTACGTGGTAGGAGATCATAATGAAAAGAGAAATGAAAATTTCTATGTTTTTTTACCAGTTTTATTTGTAACTAACGTTACTGCAGTTTCGTCCTATATGGACATCTGTTTAACATCTATTTTTCCGTTAATCAGCTGTCGCCCCCATACGAACGACAACTCTCAGAAGTTGAGAAACTTGTGCGAGCTAAGGACTAACGAGGTCTTACCTTTTAACGTGTGATTCCTAACACAACATTCTCAAACTTATACAATAAACTAACAAAGATTCATTACATTGCCAACTACATTCCCTGTAGGTACTAATAGAAATAGAGGTACTTGACTTGATTGAGTACCTGAATTCACAGTTCACAATGCGGATGTGCCAATTTAAAAACCGGAGAGTAAATTAAATCGATTTGATCATATAACAGGTTGCACCCGCAATGTTTACCTATGCTTGTGAATTTCCAAATAATTGAGTTTGCAACCCTTCTTTGCGTAGTGCAGAATTTCCGTATCGTTTATATTCTGAAACTTGTGGTTGAATGCCAAGGAATGATTTGAAAACGTCGAATCATTTTTTCCTAGTCTGAAGGACCTTTCTTGTTCAGCATACCGTTTTTGGAAATTTCGACCACATTGTCCCACATAAACACTATTACACTCCGGACACTTGAGCTTATTAACACCAGATTTTTCCAACTTGTCGACCTTATCTTTGGCATTGAAAAGAAAATGAGATAACCTGGCATGTGGTCTGAATGCTACTTCCACATTGTTTTTTCTGAAGAAACCTGCGATTATTTCTGTTCTTTTTCCAAAATATGTTAGCGTTACCCGTTTCTTGATTTCTGGTTGTTTGACCTGAGGATATATTAATCTGTTTCCGGCTTTGTTTCCTGACTAACTTCTGGTTAGTATCTGTGTTGAAACCGTTATTATAACCTATCTGTGTAATTGTATCAATTTCCCTAGCTAGATTGTCTGCAGACAAAGGCAGTGAGAATGCTGAGAGTGCAACATTGAATTGTAGGCTGTTAATTTATGACTGTCTGGATGGAAAGAATCGCTTGGGATGGTGATGTCTGCATAGCTAGGTTTTCTGAAAACATTTAACTCGAATTTATTCTGATTATGTGTAATTTCCAGGTTTAAGAAATTTATCTGTTTCTCTATCTCTTTTTCGAGTGTGTTTTTCAGCTGTCGTGTAGTACCTCTGGAACAGGCAGAAAGATATTCTTGCCAATTTTCATTCCCATTAAAGTTTGAAGTTTATAGAAACGGTCTCATAATATATACGGAATCTGGATCTAACGACAATCCGGTAAGGCGATTTCGATTCAGCAAAGATTTGTCCAGTGGGCATTTTGATCCCTATCTTCCCATAGCAGCAAAGAAAATTACTCGGCGTCTTATGAAGGTAGCTGTAGAATAACATGATTTTGGAATTGATACACCTTCGCAACTTAAGGTTGATAAGGGTTGTCAGGAGACAAAGATTTGTCCAGTGGGCATTTTGATCCCTATCTTCCCATAGCAGCAAAGAAAAGTACTTGGCGTCTTATGAAGGTAGCTGTAGAATAACATGATTTTGGAATTGATACACCTTCGCAACTTAAGGTTGATAAGGGTTGTCAGGAGACAAAGATTTGTCCAGTGGGCATTTTGATCCCTATCTTCCCATAGCAGCAAAGAAAAGTACTTGGCGTCTTATGAAGGTAGCTGTAGAATAACATGATTTTGGAATTGATACACCTTCGCAACTTAAGGTTGATAAGGGTTGTCAGGAGNTATATTTGTTCAATTTTAATTCCAATATAATTGCAGCTTATGTTACATAAGGTGAACCGAAACATAAAAGATCTAAAAACAGACACTGATAAAATCTCGCCTTCAGAGTCATTCAAGGACGTAATACATGCAGATAAAAAACCACAAAGAGAACAAAGAGGCAGATTTAATGCACCAACGGTAAATGAAGTGGCTGTTGTATTGGTAGATCAACATTTCGACCGGAGAGACATCATCCTCGAAATCCGAAGTAACTCACTTCAGCGTATATATTTATTAGTCAATATTTGGTAGATGAATACGCAAAAATAGAAACTGAAAGACTAAACTACATAAAAAACAATCAAGCCAAATTGCGCGCGGATAATTATATTCCTTTAAAAGATGCAATTGGACGGCAATATACTGAAGCAAATCAGCTGGGACAAATGGTAGTATTTTCATCATCTTTTACTGGTGGACCAAGATACATGCACGAAAAAATGCAAGACGCCATGACCTATGTTAGACATTACGGTCGTCCCGACCTTTTTATAACTTTTACATGTAACCCACGCTGGAGTGACATAAATGAGCACTTACTTCCAGGTCAAAAATCTCATGATCGAAACGATATTATTTCGCGTGTCTTTCGATTAAAGGTAAAAAAAGTCATGGATTTGTTGATATTTCGTCATGGATTTGTTGATAAAAGGGAAAATATTCGGTGAAGTGAGATGTATTCGACGGAATGGCAAAAGCGAGGTCTTCCGCATATTCATATACTTTTATGGCTTCAACATCGCATCACTCAATTTGACAATATTATTTGTGCTGAAATACCTAACCCCGATCGTGATCCTGAGCTTTACGAAATTGTTAAAAGTAATATGATAGATGGCCCCTGTGGAAGTTTAAACCGAAATTTTCCATGCATGAAAGATAATTCGAGCAGCAAACGTTATCGTAAGGCTCTTATTAAGGAAACTCAAACCGGTGATGATGGTTATCCGCAGTACAGGAGACGTTCTCTGGATGACGGTGGATTCTCTGTCAATATCAAGGGTGTTACAATAGATAATCGTTGGGTGGTTCCTTATAATCCAGTGCTATTAAGAACATGTAATGCTCACGTGAACGTAGATTATTGCCATTCAGTGAAGTCAATCAAATACGTTTGTAAATATGTTAATAAAGGGTCAGATCAGGCTACGTTTACTTTAGAGAACGGGAAGGATGGGAAGGATGAAATTACAACCTACGCAAGTGGTCAATATATAAGTTCAGCTGAAGCAGTTTGGCGAATCCTTGAATTCCCAATACATGAGCGTTTTCCTCCTGTATTGCACCTTGCTGTCCATTTAGAAAATGGACAGAGAATTTATTTTAATGAGCAGAACTTGTGCGACAAATTGAGTAGTCCTCCTACAACTACACTCCTCTCCTTTTTCGATCTGTGTAACGTGGATGACTTTGCAAAAACATTGCTATACTCGGAAGTCCCTGCGTATTACGTTTGGGAAAAGTGATCGTTTCAGAAAAAAAAGAGAGGAGTGAAAGTTGAAGGATGGTCAGGGTCAAAAAAGAACACGTTCTAGGTAGGGTTTATACTGTTCATCCAAACAATACAGAATGCTACCACCTTCGAATGCTTCTACATGAGATCAGAGGCCCAATTTCATTTGAAGCGTTGAAAACTGTAGATGGTCACTTACATCCCACTTTCCAATCCGCGTGCAAGGCTCTAGGTCTACTCGAAGATGATCGGCATTTGGATTCAGCTCTTGAAGAGGCAGCACTTTGTGAAACACCGCATATGATTCGAGAGCTTCTTGTTATCATTTCATTGTTCTGCCAAGTTTCCGACCCACTATGTCTTTGGGAAAAATACAAAGAATACCTCTCTGAATACTTTAAGAAACAATTGGAAAGGCAAGATGACGTAGATGTAGAGCACTCATCGGACCTGATATTCAACAAATGTCTGTCGGTATTAGAGGATGCCGTATTATTATTAGGCAGCCGTCCTCTTGAAGAGTATGGATTACCTCAGCCAATAACATCAATACATTTTGAAAATAGAGAGTACGTGAAGGAGACCAGTTACGATACTGTGGCCTTAGAAGACGCAGTAAGAAAAAATGAAGCATCCTTGAATGACGAGCAACATGAAGTTTACAATAAAATTATCACAAGTGTAGATGCAAATGGCGGTCGAATATTCTTCTTAGACGCTTCAGGTGAAACTGGTAAAACCTTTCTTATTAATTTACTTTTGGCGAAAGTAAGAAGTACTCACGGCATTGCCCTGATTGTGGCGTCGTCCGTCATAGCTGCTACATTACTCGAAGGTGTTCGAACTGCTCATGCTACTTTTAAGTAGCACCACTCAATTTAATCACTGCCGAGACTCCCATTTGCAACATTTCCAAACAAAGTAATTTTGCTAAAGTTTTAAAGAGTACAAAAATAATCGTGTGGGACAAAATAACGATGGCTCATAAAGGTGGTATTGAAGCCTTAAACAGATCACTGAGGGATATAAGGGGTAATACAAAATTAATAGGTGGTGTAACAGTTTTGCTGGCCCGGAGACTTTCGGCAGACCCTACCAGTGGTGCCAAAAGGAACCAGAGCTGACGAAGTAAAGTCGTGCATTAAGAAATCTAATTTGTGGCCCCAGGTTAGCTCTCTAACCTGGGGCGGGGATGAGTCTGCTGGTAGATTTTCAGATCTTCTTCTTAAAATCGGTAATGGTGATTTTCCATCGTTTGATGGAATGATAACCATCCTGGGAGAATTGTGCACAGTTGTTACTTCGGTTCAAGAATTGCTGTCCAAAGTTTATCCAGATATTATTCATATACATGACAAGCTTATTGAATGGTTATGTGAGCGTGCCGTACTTACTCCAAAGAACGATCAAGGAGCAGCTGTCAACGATATCCTGCTCTTGTCGTTTGAGAGCGAAGAAAAGGTCTATACTTCGATTGATGCTGTGGTTATTACAGATGACGCTACTAATTACCCTGTAGAATTTTTAAATTCATTGAAATCGCCAGGTTTGCCTTGTCATAAGCTTATTCTGCGTGTGGACACTCCAATTATGTTGTTGCGGAATTTTAAACCACCAAAACTTTGTAACGGTACAAGCCTGCAAGTGAAAACGTTACATCGCAATATAGTGGTGTGAAAGGGGAAACTGTATTTTTACCACGAATCGCTTAATACATAATGATATCCCGTTCGAATTCAAACGATTACAGTTTCCCCTAAAAGTCTGCTTTGCCATGACAATAAACAAGTCTCAGGGGAAAACCCTCAAATTTGCGGGTATTGACTTGAGAAAACAATGCTTCTCTAATGGACAGTTTTATGTTGCTTGCTCACGAGTAAGTTCACCCAATAGCTTGATAGTTTTAACGCCTGATGACAGATTAGTTAAGAATATTGTGTACGAAGAAGTTTTGTAGGCCCTAATTTTGAACACACGCTAAACAAAAGAAAAGTCGCAAAAACTATACCTAATTTATAATAATACTTCTTAAATTAGTTTTTGTGAACCTGGTGATTCAACGTTTTCTTGTTAATCAGTATAATGTTTTATTCGAAGTTGAAATCGCTAGATTCAACTGTCTTTAAAGAACAAGCTTGAGTAGTTTGATTAAAATGAGATATCAAAACTGATTTCAAAGTACACCGGACAAATGAAACAGGAAATCAGGAATTACATGATTTTGAGAAACTAATACCAAAATGTGGCATGAAAGGTATCAACAACCATTAGAATCCAGCCCAAGAATAGATCGACTTCAAGTAACTATAATTGCATCTTACACCAAAAGTTATGTGGAACCATCTCATTAAGACTTCAATTTAGATAAAAAATGCATCAATAAACAAAAAACAAAAATATAACACTCACATACTGTAAAAGTCTTCAACACAAGATGTTCAATGATTATATAACTGAATATTTTATGTGAGTAACATTAAATAATTATAACTATCTTGGAATGCGTACCTGTTTGACACGTAACAATGAGTTTATATGTTTGTTACAATGATTTGTTGAAAGTTAAAATCAATCTTATTTTGTGTAAAACTGGAACTGACTGTTCAGTCCATACCTTACTTCTTTGATATTGATACCACTCATTAAAATTCGTATTAGTGCCTTCGGTATCTACCACCAAGATAATAACCTTGTAATAAATTCCAAATGAGCTTTTTTTATGTATCTGTGAATAGGTATCGCCGTTTTTCAGCATTTCAATATGTAATACTATTTTCACATGTGGGTCAAAAGGTGATTAAACCAGATAGTATTATGGAGAACAAGATATTGGTAATATCATATGTATAGAAGTTGGTTCACAATAGAATGAGGATAATATTTGTTTTCGATTTTGATTACAATCAAAATGGAGTCTTCATAATTATTAACGACATGCTTCATTCATCATATTTCCAGTTTGACGAAAAATTCTATTCATGCAGTGAAGGACTAATAGTGGAAAACCCTGGAGTCCTTTGCTGGCTGAAATTTTCATGGATAACATTGAGTAAGAAATCCATAATAATAAGTTAACTTACAGTTTTTTGTGTTGGTACAGATACGTAGATGATATCTTAGTCTATTTTACTGCTACAGATAGACAATTACGTAAGTTCATTGAATATGTCAATTCCATCCACCCGTCAATAAAATTCACCACTGAGAGGGAGATAAATAATTCAATAAATCACCTTGACTTAACCATTACGAAAAATAACAATAGACATGAATTTGCAATTTTCCAGAAACCATCTTACACGGACATTATCATACATAATTCCTCCACACACCCTCATTAGCATAAAATTGCTGCATTCAATAGTATGCTTCACAGACTATTGAATATTCTACGGTCTGAGAGTAATTTCCAGAGAGAGCTGAGTTTGATCATACAAATCGAGGTCAAAAACGGTTATAAAGTAGATAGTATAGACTTCATTCTTTCCAAAAACTACAAAAGCAACCCATGGACCTGGTCTATGCAAATTCAAGATGCGATAACGTCAGTTATAGGACATTGTCAGATTTGGGTGAACCAACCAATATTGCCCGTTTTTTGAAGAAGGAATGCGTAAACGGGGCTTACAAAATGAATTATAGCCTAAGTAAATGTATTTAAAACTTCGGTGTCGGATAGATAGGAGTATATAAGCTGACTTGTGGCTCTTGCCCAAAAACTATTACACTCCGGACACTTGAGCTTATTAACACCAGATTTTTCCAACTTGTCGACCTTATCTTTGGCATTGAAAAGAAAATGAGATAACCTGGCATGTGGTCTGAATGCTACTTCCACATTGTTTATTCTGAAGAAACCTGCGATTATTTCTGTTCTTTTTCCAAAATATGTTAGCGTTACCCGTTTCTTGATTTCTGGTTGTTTGACCTGAGGATATATTAATCTGTAAGTGAATTTCCGGCTTTGTTTCCTGACTAATTTCTGGTTAGTATCTGTGTTGAAACCGTTATTATAACCTATCTGTGTAATTGTATCAATTTCCCTAGCTAGATTGTCTGCAGACAAAGGCAGTGATAATGCTCTGTGTAACATTGAATTGTAGGCTGCTAATTTATGACTGTCTGGATGGAAAGAATCGCTTGTGATGGTGATGTCTGTATAGCTAGGTTTCCTGAAAACATTTTACTCCAATTTATTCTGATTATGTGTAATTTCCAGGTCTAAGAAATTTTTCTATTTCTCTATCTCTTTTCCAGTGTGTTTTTCAGCTGTCGTGAAGTACCTCTGGAACAGGTAAAACGATATTCTTGCCCATTTTCATTCCCATTTAAGTTTGAAGTTTATAGAAACGGTCTCATAATATATACGGAATCTGGATCTAACGACTATCCGGTAAGGCGAAAACGATTCAGCAAAGATTTGTCCAGTGGGCATTTTGATCCCTATATTTCCATAGCAGCAAAGAAAATTACTCGGCGTCTTATGGAGGTAGCTGTAGAAGAACATGATTTTGGAATTGATACACCTTCGCAACTTAAGGTTGATAAGGGATGTCAGGAGGTACCTGTTTTAGAGCGTGATTATTTACCTATTGTATCTTCAATAAATCATGATGAGAAGTTTATTGTCCCAATCTGAGTCTGTGACATTAATTGAAAAAAAGGAAAAAAAGAAAAATGAACGTAGGGCAAGGTTTACTAATTACACACGAAAAAATCAAATAAAAAAGGCACAAAAAAATATGGACAGACTCTACCTGAATCCCACCGTAAAGCTGTGTCTGAATATAAGAAAAAAAACTCTGATGTACAGAGGCAAACTGTCGCCACCTACCAGGCTGCACACCCTGAAAAACACAGGCAAGCTGTCACCACCTACCAGGCTGCATACCCTGAAAAACAATCTGCTGCACTATATCAGGCCAGGAATACCGATGTGCATAGAGTGATTCAGTCATGGTATAGATAAAATACAATTCAGCGTGTATGAAGAAGCAAGTTGCTTTCGCGTTTGGCGTATGACCCAGATATTGCTAATGGAACTAACAGCAGTGTAGTCTTAGGTTCTATGACGTACAAGTGTCAGTGGTGTAACGCCTTGAAGTGGAAAGATGAGACACCTATCATGCGTTGTAGCGCCGGTAAAGTACTTGAGCCGTTTAAACAACTGCCTGAACCACTTTACAGTCTGGTTAATGATTTATACCCAAATCATGTACACTTCATGGAAAATATAATGCCTGTTCAAATGACTTCCTTTGGTGGAAAACAAATAAATAAAAGATGGCGGTTTTTCACCAACTTTTAAAGTTTAAGGACAAGTCTATCATTTATTTGGAAGTATATTACCGGACCTTGGGCAGGATGCATAGTTTCTGCAAATTTATTTCGTCGGTGAAGATGATAGAGAAGCTTATATTCGATGTTCTAAATTTCCTGATTTGAGACCAAATTTAATCAAACAATTGCAGCTTATGTTACATAAGGTGAACTCATACATAAAAGATCTAAAAACAGACACTGATAAAATCTCGCCTTCAGAGTCATTCAAGGACGTAATACATGCAGATAAAAAACCACAAAGAGGCAGATTTAATGCACCAACGGTAAATGAAGTGGCTGTTGTATTGGTAGATCAACATTTCGACCGGAGAGACATCATCCTCGAAATCCGAAGTAACTCACTTTAGCGTATATATTTATTAGTCAATATTTGGTAGATGAATACGCAAAAATAGAAACTGAAAGACTAAACTATATAAAAAACAATCAATTCGAATTGCGCGCGGATGATTATATTCATTTAAAAGATGCAATTGGACGGCAAGATACTGAAGCAAATCAGCTGGGACAAATGGTAGTATTTCCATCATCTTTTACAGGTGGACCAAGATACATGCACGAAAAAACGCAAGACGCCATGACCTATGTTAGACATTACGGTCGTCCCGACCTTTTTATAACTTTTACATGTAACCCACGCTGGAGTGACATAAATGAGCACTTACTTCCAGTTCAAAAATCTCATGATCGATACGATATTATTTCGCGTGTCTTTCGATTAAAGGTAAAAAAGGTCATGGATTTGTTGATATTCCGTCATGGATTTGTTGTATTATTTCGCGTGTCTTTCGAATGCTTCTACATGAGATCAGAGGCTCAATTTCATTTGAAGCGTTGAAAACTGTAGATGGTCACTTACATCCCACTTTCCAATCCGCGTGCAAGGCTCTAGGTCTACTCGAAGATGATCAGCATTTGGATTCAGCTCTTGAAGAGGCAGCACTTTGTGAAACACCGCATATGATTCGAGAGCTTCTTGTTATCATTTCATTGTTCTGCCAAGTTTCCGACCCACTATGTCTTTGGGAAAAATACAAAGAATACCTCTCTGAATACTTTAAGAAACAATTGGAAAGGCAAGATGACGTAGATGTAGAGCACTCATCGGACCTGATATTCAACAAATGTCTGTCGGTATTAGAGGATGCCGTATTATTATTAGGCAGCCGTCCTCTTGAAGAGTATGGATTACCTCAGCCAATAACATCAATACATTTTGAAAATAGAGAGTACGTGAAGGAGACCAGTTACGATACTGTGGCCTTAGAAGACGCAGTAAGAAAAAATGAAGCATCCTTGAATGACGAGCAACATGAAGTTTACAATAAAATTATCACAAGTGTAGATGCAAATGGCGGTCGAATATTCTTCTTAGACGCTTCAGGTGAAACTGGTAAAACCTTTCTTATTAATTTACTTTTGGCGAAAGTAAGAAGTACTCACGGCATTGCCCTGATTGTGGCGTCGTCCGTCATAGCTGCTACATTACTCGAAGGTGGTCGAACTGCTCATGCTACTTTTAAGTAGCACCACTCAATTTAATCACTGCCGAGACTCCCATTTGCAACATTTCCAAACAAAGTAATTTTGCTAAAGTTTTGAAGAGTACAAAAATAATCGTGTGGGACGAAATAACGATGGCTCATAAAGGTGGTATTGAAGCCTTAAACAGATCACTGAGGGATATAAGGGGTAATACAAAATTAATGGGTGGTGTAACAATTTTGCTGGCCGGAGACTTTCGGCAGACCCTACCAGTGGTGCCAAAAGGAACCAGAGCTGACGAAGTGAAGTCGTGCATTAGGAAATCTAATTTGTGGCCCCAGGTTAATATTCTAAAGCTCTCTAAAAATATGAGAGCACATTTGGGCGGGGATGAGTCTGCTGGTAGATTTTCAGATCTCCTTCTTAAAATCGGTAATGGTGATTTTCCATCGTTTGATGGAATGATAACCATCCCGGAAGAATTGTGCACAGTTGTTACTTCGGTTCAAAAATTGCTGTCTAAAGTTTATCCAGACATTATTCATATACATGACAAGCTTATTGAATGGTTATGTGAGCGTGCCATACTTACTCCAAAGAACGATCAAGGAGCAGCTGTCAACGATATCCTGCTCATGTCGTTTGAGGGCGAAGAAAAGGTTTATACTTCGATTGATACTGTGGTTATTACCGCTACTAATTACCCTGTAGAATTTTTAAATTCATTGCAACTGCCAGGTTTGCCTTGTCATAAACAACATAATTGGACACTCCAATTATGTTGTTGCGGAATTTTAAACCACCAAAACTTTGTAACGGTACAAGCCTGCAAGTGAAAACGTTACATCGCAATATAGTGGTGTGAAAGGGGAAACTGTATTTTTACCACGAATCGCTTAATACATAATGATATCCCGTTCGAATTTAAACGATTACAGTTTCCCCTAAAAGTCTGCTTTGCCATGACAATAAACAAGTCTCAGGGGAAAACCCTCAAATTTGCGGGTATTGACTTGAGAGAACAATGCTTCTCTCATGGACAGTTTTATGTTGCTTGCTCACGAGTAAGTTCACCCAATAGCTTGATAGTTTCAACGCCTAATGACAGATTAGTTAAGAATATTTTGTACGAAGAAGTTTTGTAGGCCCTAATTTTTAACACACGCTAAACAAAAGAATAGTCGCAAAAACTATACTTAATTAATAATAATACTTCTTAGCGCGAGCGAAGCCGCGGGCAAAAGCTAGTATATATATATTTGAGTCTCCAAATTTTGTTGGATAACTAAATCTTTCAATAAAAACTACAATTAATGAATTTATAGCTGACAACCTTCATCTACAGACAAGGACAAGTCGTTTTGAGATTATTAATAATGTGACGTATCCTGTGTTATTATTGTCTAATGAGTGCAGACCCCAATTCAACTGATTGGTACTTTCTAAAATTATATAAGACCAGTTCATGTATCTATTAACAAATATTGCTCTTATTGGATCTTATTAAAATATAAAGAAAAAACTGTTGATGCAGAAATGGATAGCCAGTTATTCAATTACTGATCAGTTACTGAAGTCCTGTAATTCAGATGCTCAGAAGGGATCATATAGAACAATAAACTGCACATTCTTATTCCGAAACATTTTGTTGCTAGTTCAATGGGAAACTAATTACCGTAACAACTAGAATTTCAATTAAATCTAGATACTTGTTTCACCGGGAACTAAATATATTTTTTTAATTCTCGATGATTTTGGAATGGAAGTAGAAAACCAAACAAACTACATATCGCTATCTTTTGTATTATATTTCGTAATATGTTGTTTGATAGAAAGAACTGACTAAACGAATTGGAGGCCATAAAATGTAGATCGACCCGCAGCTACAAGAAATCCAGTATACCCCGGGTGTTGCTGAAGGTTCTCTGAAGTATGGTTTGAAACAGATTGTGATTGTAATTTTTATAAATATAGACAATTCCAATCCAATACGTCTACCCACCTTATTATTTCTCAATATCCCTTTTTATCATTGAGAAAGGGAAGTATTGGATCTACTAATATCAATTACATTATAAATATATGATGATTTGAAAGGGTTATATTCCAACCCCAATCGTTGTCTATTGTGTGATCGATAGTAACAATTATTATATTTTTCAATGATAGTTCAAGATACTGTTCTACACTCCCCAGGCCCGTCTTCGTAGTGGTGTTCTTTTAAAGACTAGGGCTATAGTAGGTGGTAACTCGGGCCTGTCAACGTTACAAAATAGTATTATGGATTCGTGGCGTATCCTTAATTTCACTGCTGAACGTGTTCCAACTTGCTGATAGAATTTTCGAAAGTGATACCGGAAGGAAAAACAATCGTGATTTCCATACACGTCCATTATCATAATATGGATTGAAATACTGATTTTTTTGTGAAAACTCGAAAATCTTTTGCACCACCCAGCCGGTTGATGAAATGTACCTACTTGTATACTTTGAAATAATGTTTGACAGCATATACCCCACGAAATAATCTAAAATTTTGATGTTGATGAAAATTAGACAAAAAATATAGCCTAAAGCCCTAGAACTTGGAGGATTTCCACTACTAAGTCAGGGGAATATTTGATTCAAGTTTTCATATATTTATTCAAAATAAGTACCAAGTTCGAATTGAAAGGGGCATTTTTTTTTAATTTAAAGAACGTTGCATCAACCACTAGGGTTATTAGCAACGGCATAATACAAGTGATTCAATTAGTATATGACATTTAAAATTAATTCATATATGTTGAAAAATGTGTATATCTTTGAGAAAAGCAGAAATGTGGAACGCTTCACGATATTGCGTGTCATCCTTGCGCAGGGCCCATGCTAATCTTCTCTGTATCGTTTCAATTTTAGTTTATGTACCGCCAAAGCGAGTACGGGCATATTTTTTGAAGAGGTTTATTTTTTGGAAAAGAAAATAAAAGGTTTTGACTTTCTACTTCTCCATCTTGATACAAAAAATGTGGGAATCTTTCAAAGAAAGGAAGGAGGCAATCAATTTCTAAAAGATAACTCTATTCAAAGATGTGTAGATCATGCAGAGAAGTAAATTGAAACTGGAAGCCTTCTCAAAATTGCTATGTCTTTCAATACTGACTCCTGATGTCACTATTTTAAAATTTTGCATGTCTAAATTTTTTTTATTGCTCATTCAAAACAGTTTTTGTGAAATGCCACATTTTTATTCACCTTAGATTATTTGAGATGATCTGTATATTGAAGAAATGTGTAATAATGACCTTTCAGCTTTGTGGGAGTATAAATATGAAATATTGATGTGGTAACATGGTACAACGTATGAACTAGTATATTCACTGCTTGCTGTCTCGTTGAGTATGGTTTGATAAAGAGGTTTGATTTACTTTGATTTGCTTTGATTTCTGTATTTAGCATTCTGAATAGTGAAAATGACTCATTTAGGCTTTTTGGAGTGCTGCAAATATTGAGAAAACCATATTGGTAGAGATCCAAAACCATACTGGTAATGGAATTTTACGATTCTTACTTTGATTGGTGAATCAAGTAACTTTCATAATCATTTTCTCGAATGATTTTTCACTCTTCTTTATAAGAACTTGTAGATTTCCGAAAATTCACGTTTATTATTTGCAATTCGAATGGCCATGCTTCAGTAATACTAATCTTCGACGCATATATTTGTTCAATTTTAATTCCAATATAGTTTCAAATTAGTTATTGAAATAATCGACAATTTCACATTCGTCGTCAAATGATTTGTGATAATATTCATTCGACTTCATAAATTTACTAACGACCCGCTCGGCTTTACACATGGAGCAGAGCCTACATATTTTTCTGTCACAGGGTTGCATCTTGCATCAGCTTGCCACTAATAATAATGACTTTTGATAGAATTCTCACAAACAGAAGTATGTTGACAACATCAATTTCAATTTTGAAATAGTACGGACATACCTACCTAAACAAGACAAAAATGCGATGTTAACCTTCAAAGTGATTCACTACGTGAAACAAAATTGATGCAATTGCACCCTTCTTCGTCGCGCATGTCACATTGGCGTGTGAGGCTGCTTGAATTCAATTATTCCCGCAATGGTTTTAATTTCACGATAACTTCTGAGATATCAATTTAAATTGTATGGTATACAATGCAATATCACGGTCTTCCAACAGGGACTTCCGAAATTTGACAATAGATAACGGCTATCTTCTTGAAGCTATATCTGTCAAATTAGTTGTCATTCATTCAGTCTGTTTTGCCAAATCACCATGAAGTTTAATCAAAATTGGTGTTCTGTTCGGGCAACGTACCGCCTTCTTCGTCCATTTTACGGTCGCCATAATCGTCTTCCGAGAACTATTTGCAATGTGATGGATAAATTTGAGTCTACTGATTCAGTAAATTATCGACCAACACCCGTACGTCGACAAAACGCAAAATATGCCGAAAATATCGAGAATTTTGCGTCGTGACTTGGGCCTGCACCCGTACAGAATTCATCTGACCAAGGGGAACTGAAGGTAAACGACCATACACAACGACGTGTATTCGCTGAATGGGCTCTGGAGTATTTGGCGACTGAACAAATAATTGTCGAATTTGAAACCTTAGAAATCTACATGGGATCCAAGAGCGTCCAATGCATCTCTAAAAAATCACTGTTTGGTATGAATTTTGGGCTGGCGGCGTCATCGGTCCATATTTCTTTGAGAACGACGTTAGTCAGGCCATCACTGTCAACGGCGAACACTAAAGGTCGATGATCACCAACTTCTTTTCACCTCAATTAAATGAGCTGGACATTAACTATATGTGGTTTCAACAAGACGCCGCTAAGTGCCACACAGCTCATGCCACATTCTGTATTCTGCATGAGCTATTTGAGGTCAAGATGATCTCACGTGGAGGTGATGTGAACTGGTCACCGAGATCGTGTGATTTGACCCCGTTAGATTTTTTCTTGTAAGATTATCTTGAGTCACAAGAATATGCGAATAAACCACAAAGTCAACATAACCCATGCCATCGACCTGATTTATGCACAAGAATCCATCCAGAGAAGGTGTGGTGGATATTTGAACGATGTTATATTCCATACAAAATGGCATCAATACTCAAACGAATATCAATACTCAATATTTAAACGAATAAAAAATTTAGATGATATTTCACACATACTTCATTTTATTTAAATTGAATTCAAAGATAGGAAGCGCTTAATGTCCATGAAGGTAACTAATGAATTCAATTTGACAAGTATTAATATTGTATCCGTCTAAATATTTTTTCAATTACCACATAAAATTCAACCAGTTAATTATAGTAGTAGTTGTAAGCTATCCTTGAAAGATAAATATATACCACTGATGATTTTTCTATAGAAAAACTAAAAACTTGAAAATAAAATAAGTAAAACATATGTTAAACGGTTTTATTGAATAAAAAGGATAATAATAATGTAGGTAATGTAGTAAAAACTGAAAAATGATTTGGAAGATTCTAGGTAGCAGTCATCACACCATTCCCCTCACCAATCTACGGTATTGATCAGAAAAAAAAATAAAATCGTTGGCGTGGTATTAACATATTTACTCAGGTCACGCTACGCCCAACGATTTCATAATTTTCTTATCTACTGAGAAGAGTGGTGTGATGACTGCTTCCTAGGACCCGAATCATTTTTAAATTTTTGGTACATTATCTACATCATCATTATCTTTTTTTTCAATGAAAACGTTTACCATACATATTTTATTCAAATTTTTTCTACCTCGTTTGACAATAACCAATTAAATGAGGCAAGTACTA